CCAGAGTTGAATCCGCCTTGTCTCATTCCAAAGCTCATTCTTGGACCATACCCCTAATTACTCTCCTAAACTTTCCAAAAGCTTCGTATTGGACAAACCTGGGCACATATAAAAAACCAGGGGTCTAAAAGACATCCAATGTCTCAATAGCAGCAGTAGTGGAAGCTGAAAGAAAATGGAACACTACCTTAGAATGAGAGAAAAGTGTTTCCATGCCAGCAGGCAACAAACTATCCATTAAGTGCAAGGAAGAATGAAAGCCTTTGAGGTGGCAAAGTCTCAGAAGTTTCCTTCCAACACACCCTTGCCCTGAATGACTGGAGAAAATTCTTCATAAAAAGAAGAAGGAACAATTGGAACAGGTGCCAGGAAAAGCCCAGGAGAAAATGGAACTAAAAGATATTCTGACAGGTGTGCTGTATGGAAAACTGAACAAAGAGATTTTTACATAACTGTTAGAGAGGCTACCAAATGCAAAAACAGTAATCTGAGCCAGAAAGGAAATGCATCAGGCTATACTACCAGGCTAGAAGTGAGCCACAATTAGACTTAATAGTATAAAAAGAACAAAACTGAGTTTGTGTTCAATAAAAAAATTTCAAAAATATTAGAAGGAAGAAGAAAGGGAAAATGTTAATGAATGAGAGAAACAAGAAAGATAAAAACCTATTTTTCATAACAGGAAGTGAGTAGATGAATCAATCCGAAATATCAACAAATGGCAGAACATGCTTTTTATTTAGAAAAGTTGTAAAAACCAGAAGAAATACCTAATGAGTAGAAGGGATTTTTTTGGACAGAGGGAAATCAGAAATGGGGAAAGTTGTCATGGGTCTGCTGCTTTTCATTACATCTTGATTTTTAACACTACAATACAAATAAAAACTACATTAGAAAAAGCACTATTTCAGAATCACATTTCTCACATGCAGAAACAAGTCTATCTACAAATCAACAGGCAAGATTTGCTAAAAGACAAAGGAAATCTTGTGTAAGAATTACCAATTCAGGACTCATTAATGAATGGGTTTAGCAAATTTTTAAATTAATTTAAATGAGATTTTCAATAAATTTAAAACAAAACAATTTTTAATAATTTCTATAGTTTTGTATTAATTTATATACATCCAAAAATGATAGCTTAAGCTTTTCAACAGTGATGAACCTGTTTTCAAGAATCTCACTCTACACTATACACTCTTGAGTCCTCTCAACAAGCCTTTACCTCAAAGAGCTTTTTCTGGCAACAGGGAACTCTTCCTTCAGTGAATTTATAAAACACTAATCATTCATTTGCTTATTCAACCAATATTGAGCTAGACATTACTTCAACATTAAATTCCACAACCCCATATGTTTTCCATTTTATATGTATATTCAACCAGTTGGAAAATTTCACTAGTAAACATGCAATTAATCGGAAGCTTCTTATTTAAGGTCTGAGTCTTCTTTCTGCTTCTTTATATTTCCTATAATGCTAACAGAGTGCAGATCCCATATCACTGTGTATGTAGCAATCCCGGTTCTTTCATTCCTGCATAGCCATAAATTTGTTTAGTAGGTCAGAAACTCTTTGATGATAAAAACTATACCTTAGTCATCCCATCTCACTGGCTCACTGGCTTGGCATCAGATAGGAGCTCAATAATGATTTTTAAATGAATAATACATTCATAAACATAGTTTTATAATACATTCATAAACATATTTATTCTGAGTGAATAAATATGTAAACAAATGAATGCCAATAATACATTTATTCTATATCTCAATTTATTTTAATACCATTAAAACAATCTCTCTAATATGGTCATAAAATCAGATCATCTCAAGTTTTCTTAAATTCTTAAGATCTAAGAATTAGATAATTATGGAAATTTCTCCTTGGAGGACCATGTGAAAATGTGACCCAACTCTATTATCCTCTTTCAAATTGACATAATTAGGAAAGTTCTTAGATAAAACATAATTTGGAAAATTCCTATGTAAAACAACTTTTCAAACAGACTCAACTTCTTACTCATTTGCAACAGAGGTGAGTCAACACAGTCATTGGTATAGAATCATGATCATAATTCAGGACAACAGATTTGTTTTACTCTGTAGAAATCAGTGCTCCTTGACTATTAAGTCTTAAATGTTCCCTGCCTGACTGACACGGCGCCACTTGTAATGATGTCCACTCTATTATTGTCAGCATGATTCACGTAGATTGGTGGAAACAGCAAAACAAAAAGAGCAACTTCATGCATTCCCATAAACATAACTTAATACTGCCCACACCAATAGTCCTGATTCATTTGACTTCTGAACTGTATGCAGCATAAGTGATGGGGTTTTATTCTTTTAGTTCAAATATGGGTGAAACACCTTGTTGGTGTGGGATGGGAAGGGAGAATATATACTTAAATTAGTCTCAAAGGTAAAGAACTGAGCTGGCTAAACTATGTTTTAATTTGAGTCTGTAACTTGAGTGATAACACAGACCCATTTCATCATAATCTAAATTTTCTATCAGAATTAATTTTGCACATCCAAGTGTTTTCACTTAGCAAGTAAAAATACCTATCAGAGTTGTACAGAAGGAAGGTAACCTGAAAGAAGGTAGGTGCACTAAGTTTTAAATTTGTTCCAGGAAACATAAGGCTGATGATATTTAAATTAAATGCAGTTAAATAAACATACCTCTGTGATGGGCACCAGAGTAAGCAGTGGAGGGCCAGCATGAGCAAGCAGACAAGATGCTCAACATCACTTTACAGAATGTTATGGAAGTGGAGGGTTAGGGAGCAACTGGGACATCAGTCTGGTCTAGGAGGTCATAGAAGGATTGCTGAGGAAATGATTTTCTAACAGTGACCTAAAAGATGAATCCTATGGCTTGAGTCTGTTGAAGCTTGAGGAAACACTTCCCAAAGGAAAAGCAAGGAGAGGGCAGTGAGAGAATGTAGTGTGTTTAAGAAACCACAGGAATGTCCAGAATTTACTATAGGGAGTATGTTTCAGACTAGCGACTAACGTTCTGTAGAGTTAGTATTGATTATGGCATGTCAGACTTTCTGAGACCTATTGCGGGGATGGGATTTTTATGGGTAAAGGTGCTTACAAAAACAGTCAGAAACTCATTCAAATTGAACACAATCTCCCCACTTGACCGAAAGCTACGTAGATAGTGGCCTGGGTTCTAGTCACTCACTGCCCACAAATTTGATGAGACCCAAGTTCCACCTCTTGACTTCTTTGGCTTCAGTTTCCTCCTCTGTAAAATGGTGGAATAGAATTATATAAACTCAAAGACAGGGACAGCCCCTATGACTCATCTTACTGGCCAATTCAAATCGATTAGCAATGTCTGCCACTGGCTCAGTTTTCGGATTGCTCCCAGAAAAGTCTGCCACAGGGCAGACTTTTTTTACAGTGGAATGCTACAGTCTTGCTAGCCCTGCTCTGTCTCCCTTCTTTTCTAGTTACACTATTTTATGACTCTATGAGAAAAATAATTTGAGCATAATAATTTAAGCATAATTTTCTCAAAAGTTATGTAAGTGACCTGAGATGCCTGTGCATGGTTTGCTGCTAATAGAAGAAATGAAGAATTAATACCTAAAAGCAAAAGGCCAAGAAGAGGAGGCATGGGTGATACCAAATGAACAGGAAAAGAGGTCTTCAATGAACTCATGCCAACATATATTAGACATTTGGATTTTCCTCCCAATACAATTTTGAAATGCAATCTGTTTTTCATTATAAGCCTAATCTGTCAAATCTATCACTTTTGGCTACATTTCAGGTGGCTTATAAACAGCTAATGTAGGCAAGTGAGAAACATCCAGAGCCTCTGCTTGAAACTGTGCTAACAAGTGTGAACAACTCCTGGCCTCCCCACAGGACAGAGCTCCAGGGCTGTATTGTCTGTTCCCTTCCCTGTCACAGAGAAGTCAACTTTCAAGCATGCTCACCTTCCTTTGCATTGAAAAGACCATGGTCTAAAATATCTAGATGATTCTACTTTATTTTTTAAAAAGATTTACTTATTTATGCATATAAGAACTGGGGTACAGACCAGATGTGTGGGGGGAGATGAGAGGATTCACCAGAAACAGTGGGGAGCAGAACAGGCAGAATTACCGAAATACGTTGCTGAGAGGAGCAGCAGTTAAGACAGGAGAGGTCTGCGTGCTATGTGGGTTGCTCCCTGGCCAGGGATTGGACCCTCGCTGCAGTGGCTGCGGATAGCTTCATAGTGGTAGGTCTTAACCCCTTGCGCCACCAGGGAGGCCCCAGATTTTGATTTTGCTCTTTTCCTCCCAGACTCACCTGGCCCCTTTTGCTCCTTTCCTATGGGTCCCCATCAGAAGGTGCCTTAGAAGGTGCCTTAGGGCAAGCTTTCAGGCGTGCGCAGCCATGCTTTGGGCCAGCCTTGTGTGGCCAGACATTTACTCACAAGGGGATGGGTAGCTCTAGGTGTTTGATTGGAAACAATTTTACCTATGTTCTCTTCTCTCTATTGCACACTAATTCTAGTAAAGTTCTGTTCTATTGAAAGTCTTAGGCAGTAGGAGTATGTTTTGCTTTTATGCAGCGGATGGCAGAACACATTTAGAGCAGGCAGTGGTCTGAGAGTGCCCCTCAGTTTGCCCGCTAACGAAGTGATGCTTTTCCTGATCCCCAATCAACTTGAACGGGAACAGCAAAATCTTTAGGTATTAATGTTATAATTTTATGTCTTAATTTTTCTCAATACTAATAGCCAATTAATAGTTTTATAAAACATACTATAATTCATTTCTCTTTCTTGTTCAGGAAACAATACTATAAGCTATATATTCCAGGTGTGCACTCTCTTTTTAAAAATTTTGATTAAATATACATAACGTGACATTTACCAGTGTGACCATTTTAAGCACAGTCTGTGGCTTCGAGCCCATTCACAAGGCTGGGAACTCTCCAGTGCAAAATAGGGTGATCATGACAATGTTGAGAAGGGATCTATTACTAACCTCTCACTTCCCGCTGCTGATACTCTTTGTTTTTAAGAACAGGGTGTGAAATCCACATCCACGGATGGTGCTTGCGGAGCTGAGGGAGCAGGTAATGGGTTACAAAGCCCACAGTGCCGGCCAGGGCAAACAGCACGATGCTGAGAAATGGCTGCGATAAAAGAGGGCAAAATCTCATTATGTAGCTTACAAGGATGGGATGAGGGTGCCATGAATAATACATAACACGACTGTCCTTCCCCTCTTTACTCTTAAAGAATAGACAGCTGCACTCTGTTTCTGTTTCAGGCTTCTGAAAATTTCTTGTCTACAGCATGAACCTGGTCTGCACTGAGAACCACTAAGCACTAAGAAGGGGGAGAGGGATTCGCCTGGGAAAATCCAGAAGCTGGGGCATTCTGAGCTTTGGAATACCTTTTTTTTTTTTTTTTTCCTGAAAAGAAGTGGAGTATAACAAACTTAGCTTATAGACTTTTCCTTGTTGAAAGGGGGGCTCTCACATGCATAATATTTTTACAGACAAATGTCTGTAAGAACCTCAGGCCAGAAATCCCATCTGGAGCTCTCTACTTTGGTTTTTCTAACTGAAAATCATGTTCCAATCATCCTGTTGGCTCCATGACCTCCGTCTTGCTCCTGATAGGGCAACTCTTCCCTTCCTGGCTGGTAGTAGCTGTATTCAGTCTGTCTTATCACTACGGAGGGTGCACGGGGTGAATTCCAGGGGGATGCACTATTGCTCCTGCAAACAGAACCACGACCCCTCCCCCCTGGGAAAGGCTGAGATAGAACAACTGAACCAAATCTGTGTGCAGCCCAGTCTCATCATGGACATAATAGTACATGTGCCTTAACACTCTCAGCTGGGTTTTGTTTCCTCCTTTGCCTCTCTCGCCTGGCAATACCCATGAGCTTTACCTGAGCTCCATTTTGAAGGAATAAGGATGTGGAATAAGGATGAGCAAGAAGTTGAATGGATACATACTCGCAGAGACAGGAACACAGTGCTGGCACTGACTGCAAACGATAAAACAGCAGCCACCGAGCAGATGATGACATCCGATTTTAAGATCTCCTTCTGTAAAGAGAAAGCCAGTCATGAAGCCTGCTCGTCATGCTCTCTGTGACTCTGTGTCAGAAGGTGCATTAGATGACAGCATGTCAGCCCCTCATTTCCCTGGCATGTTCTGCTATGATCTCAATGGCACACGCTAGAAAGACTGCTCACTACCTCCTGTGTGAGGACTAGCAGGGGTATGGGAAAGGAAAATACACCCTGCAAAAGCAGCCTATGTCTGCTAGCCATGGAAAGTGAGAAGGCTTTCAGCATGTATAAGAGGCATAAGATAAGGTTAGTCTCTAGGAATAGAGAGCACATATAGGAGGCCTCGGTCTGATAAGGGGGGTTAGTACTAATATCTCTACTTGGCTTTATTTAAGGTAGCTTATATTTTATCATGTGAACAGAGGCCTCTGACACATTTACTTATTTCTTTGGACCAAAACAGGTTTTACATTTTTATTCACCAGTCAGATTGGGTAAAGTTGATTTTCAAGTTTTACACACACACACACACACACACACACACACACACACACAGAGAGAGAGAGAGAGAGAGAGAGAAATGCTTATCTAAAAGGAAGATAAACCTTTCCCCAAAAATAATAATTTAAAACTAAGTGCCCTTTTTAATTGACAGTCATTCTTGTCTAAAGGCAGAGGAGTATTCACCAGGACAACCGCTGGGAAGAGAAGAGTTGCATTTCCAAGTTTCTTAAATTGAGCAGGAGAATGACCTTAACTTATTGCTCATTTTTCTTCAAAATTCAATGACACACAGGAATTCAGAATTGCACTGATTTTTGTCAGTGTCCTCAGTATGCTTTTTATTTTTTTTAAAGATTTATTTTTTATTTATACAAGAACTGGGGTACAGGCCAGAGGCGTGGGAGGGTGAGAGGAGTCAGAGACAAAGTGGGGAGCAGAACAGGCAGATGGATGGAATTCACTGTTGAGGGGAGCAGCGGGAGAGGCAGGAAAGGTCTGCCATGCCATGTGGGTAGCTCCCTAGCTGGCCACGCATTGAACCTGCACTGCAGAGGCTGCGGACAGCTTCACAGTGCTGCACTCAACCCGCTGTTCCACCGGGGAGGCCCCTGAGTATCCTTTGTAAATACCAACCATTACACAGCCTTCATTCATGAAAATGCTCTTTCTTCCCATTTCTTTTCTGCATTATAAATTTTAAATAGCTCTATTGAGGTATAATTGGCATACAAAAACCTGGCATATATACACAAAGTGAACATGTTGATGCATTTTGACATATGTAGATCTTCATGAAACCATCACCATAATTAAGATAACTATATACCCATCATCCCCTAAGTTTCCTCCTTGGACCTTTTCTAATCTATCCTTACTTTCTTTCCTTACTCAGTCCTCAGGTAACTATTCAGCTGCTCATTCACTACAATTTACTTTAATTTCCTATAATACTATATAAATGGAATTGTAGAATATGTAGTCTTTTTTGTTCTGACCTCTTTCATTCAGTGTATTTATTCTTAGATTAACCTATGCTGTTGTCTGTATCAAGTATGTTCCTTTTTATTGTTGTGTGATATTCCTTCATATGTGGATATACCACAACTCATTAATCCATTCATCTGTGGATAGATATTTGAGTTGTGTCCAGTTTTTGGTTACTGGAAATAAAATGGCTACAAATATTAATGAACATACTTCCAAACATGGATTTTTGTTGCTATTATGTAAATACCTATTTATAGAATGGTTGAATTATATGGTAGGCTTAGGTTTAAGTTTTTATGAAACTGCCACAAGCTTACCCAAAGTCATTGTAACCATTCTACACTCTCACTGACAGTATATAAGCATTCCAATTTTCAATATCCTTGCCAACACTTGTCAGTATTTTTTATTTTAGCCATCCCAATGGTTTTGTAGAATGAAGTTATCAACAATAAACAGTTTTATCTCCCAAGGGACATATGGTAATGTCTGGAGATATTTCTGAATGTTACATTTCAGGAAGAGGGAGGGATGATACTGGCACCTGGTGGTTAGAGGCCATGGATGCAATTAAATATCTTATAATGCATGTGGTAATCCCTGAAAATAGAATTATCTGGCCCAGAATGCCAATAATATGTAAGGTTGTGAAACACTGGTCAGTGGTAGCTCACTGTGGTTTTAACTTGCATTTTCCAATAATGATATTGAGCATCTTTTCATGTATTTAATCTTTAAAATATCATTTATAGGTGTCTTTCAAGGTTTCTTTTAAAAAATAATATTTTCAAGAATAAAATTTTTTGGAGCAGTATAAAAAGAAGGAGGAGAATAACCTCAGAGACTGAGGTTAGGTAAAGTTCATTTTGATTAGCTTTCTGGTTAAATAATATTTTGCTCATTTAAATGTATATTATTGATATACATTTCTGCTTCTAAAAGATAAAATATGTGAAAAAATATTTAAAAATATGTAAAAAATATTCTTTTGGTGTGTGCTTTGCTTCAGTCTTAGTTTTGTTGTACAAAAAGAAAATAACTTTTATTGCTATCTTCCTTTACATGCTTGAAGATCAAAAAAACATATGACCCTTTTGCATTACTTACTTAAATAAGAGATTTAGGATCTCTTTCATTTTGATAAATGGCCTAAGACTTAACAGTGAATTGTATAATGTCACATCTTACCAAAAAGAGAGTGCCCAAGATCTAAGCAAAATGCAAATTTAGACAGTCTACAATTTTTTATGACTAATTAATTTTTCCATTATAGGACAGCATAATAACATTACAGCACTCAAAAACATAGAGGAAAAAAGGGGAAGATCATTCATAATCATTACATCCTGACACTAACAGTATTAGCATTTTTGTGTATTCTGGACCAATATTTTTTGCCAGTGAATGCTGAACCTGTAACTATCTGTAATCATGATATATATGGGGCAGTTCTGTGCATATTTTAAAAAGAGCTAATCTTAATGTGCATATAATTTTCTAATTTTTTCAGCAGTACTTTATATTGTGAGAATTATATATATTATTGTATAGACTTACCAACAGCCACCTAAAGATTAAATATCTTGCCAAGTTGTAGGTCCTATACATACACATCAATCCACATCAAAACAGCACCACAGTGGGCGCTCAAAACATTAGTTCAGTAAATAAAAGTGAACGAGCTATAGTTACTGCAAATACTCCCTGACTGCCAGAGATTAGGTTGCCTTCCATTTTTTACCAAGATGAATTATCCTGCAATTTTCATTTTTATGCACCTAAATCTTTTTTCATATTTTGGTTTAATTCCCTAGAAAAACTCTGACAAGTAGATGTTATTGTAGAATAGGTTATGAATATTTTACAACCCTTGATAAATTATGCCTTTCCAGGTGACTGCAATAACTCACACAGATACAATGTATAAGAGATCTCACATTGCCACAATTGGCAATATCACTAATTTATCCTGTGCTAATTGAGTGAACACAAAAGAAAGCCATCTTACTTCAATCTGTATTTATTTGCAAGAAGAGAAAATATATTTAACACATTTGCTTACTAAATATTGTGTTCCCAGATTAAATACATTATTTGTTATAGAATTTTAAGAATTAAATTGTAAGAGTGATTGGTATGGGAAAATTACCGAAATTTTCTCAAATGTGCAACAAATATTTTAAGTATTGGAATTTCATTGCCTTGCTTTTACACACAGCAGTTGAAATTTCTTATGTACTCAGATCTAACTCTGTGTGTTTTATCTATTTTTATTTCATACAATCCAAGTCGGGAAAAACCATGCCCTCTCTAGAATTTGAACACATATTCGATTTTATGTCATACTCTTGAAAATTTCAAAATTTTAAAATTGTAAGCCATGCCTACAAAAAAAAGCACATACCACACATACGCACACTTTAAAGAATGGCTATAAGGTAAAAACAAACCCTTCCTTTCTCTCTTGGATAGCCTAACAACTATACTGATACTGGAGAGAATAATTTTCTTGCTTTTTAAAAAAAATGACTTTGCCACTTATGTATGCTATTGTAAGCAATTTAGCTTGCCTATTTTCAACCAATAAGGGGTGCTATGTTATATGTAATATTCGTAATTGTCTTGCACCCTTTGTTCAACATTATAAGGTTAATTCACTCATGATACCTCATGCAACCTTATTAAGGTCTTTTTGTTTGCTATCTCCTTCTTATTCTACTCCTGGTAGACTTCCTAATGGCTTCAGTTTGGTGCTTTTTTGAGCAAATGCTATGACGAACAATCTTCAATGTGTAGTCTGGCACAAACATGTAAGATTTGCTCCCTGGTAAACAGCTAGCTGGTGATTACTACAAACATTTTCAAATTTATAATACCAAACTGCTTCCAAAGCAAATATACTAAATCACACTATGAAGTACATGAGCGTTCCCCTGCTCTACATTTCATTTGTCAACACTTAATTATTAGGAGAACTTTTAAGTTTTTGTCAGTGGGATAGGTGCGAAATGGTAAATCAGAGTGGCTTTTGTTTGGAGAATCCTATTATTAATTAGGTTGCACATGTGTTTATGGTTTTGGCGATTTATATATTTCCTCTTTTGAGAAGTACATGTACATTTTTTAACCCATTTTAATTTAGATATCGGACTTTTCTTGTTGATTTGTAGGTATTTTTATTCATCTCAACACCATAGCTTTATCAGCTGTGCATAGTTTAAGAATGTTTCCCAGCCTCTGACTTGTTTCTATAAATCCCTGGTATAACTTGACAAATCAAAGGTCATCATTTTAATGAATTTGAATTGTATTGTTTAAAAAATTGTTTCCAATCCTGATAGCATAAAGATAATTTCCTTTAACTATAATTCTAAGTGCTTTCAGGTTTTGTCATCTCAGTTAGATATTAATCCACTTTGAATTGACTTAAATATACTGTAACAGAGGATTCCTATAATGTGTTGTTACTTATGAAAAATTTCTTCTATCTTTTATTATACCATGTTCATCTTTGGAAGTTATTAATGTTGTATTCCTTTAATAAGAAAAACCAAACATTTTCTAATATTGATGAGTGTCATATACTTTGGTTATTATTCAACCTTCATAATGTACTCTTAAATCTCAAAGAACTAAGCTTTTCTTTGTTATTCATCTTTTTCATGTTTTAAAGCTATTATTAATTGTTATTCTTCTAAACGAATCTTAGAATCATTTCCCCAACTTGTGAATATAACTCTTTTGGAACTGTTTTTGAATGATATTAAACCTATAAATTTATTAGAAAGCATTGGGATTTAACAGATCTCAGCCTTTCTATTCAGTATTAGGTTATATCTATTTATCACCACGTATTCAGAAATTCATTTACATTCTACAACCTATTCTACAACCTATTCTGCTATAGTTTTCTTAATTTCTGAAACTACCTGTTAAAATCATTGTTATTATCAATTTACATGTTTTGTCACTATTGTCAGTCAGATTACCTTTTCATTATATTGATATTTTCTAAGGTTCTTTTTTGATATGTTAGAATGCTTTTGCTTTTCCAAATCTTCTTGTCTCAAGTGGTATTTATGAATTATCTTATTAATCATAGCCAGTTTTAATAAACTTTCTGGGTATCCCATGTGCATACATTAGTATCATCAATACCTTTTTCTCTTTCAGGACTTATACTAGCTAGATCCTCTAAAACAATATTCAATAATATTAATGTTCATGCATGAGTTCATGCATATTTAACTAATGTACCAGTTCTTAGAATATCGAATATTTAAAATTCATTGTGGCCTTTATGTAGCATTTCATGCCCCAATGCTAAAAAGAAACTTCAGAAGCACTTATCCAACACTATACATCCAGTAGATTTAGACAGTGCAGGACCCGAAAAATCAAGATGATCCATCAATAGTCTAAAAGAAGCTGTTTAAATTTTACAGATAAAAATTAGGTGTTTTTGTTGGCTTGTTTTTGTTTCTCAGACCAGAGAAAAAGACACAATGAATGGAAGTCTGAATCTGAAGAAGAACTGAAAATGAGGACAAGTGGGCCTCCCTGGTGGTGCAAGGGGTTAAGTCTCAGCTTTATGAAGCTATAGGCAGCCATTGCAGCACGAGTTTGATCCCCCACCAAGGAGCTCACCCACATAGCACAGCAGACCTCTCCTGTCCCACCCGCTGCTCCCCTCAGCAGTGTATTTCAGTCAGCCTGCCTGTTCTGTTCCCCACTCTGTCTCTGGTGAATCCTCTCACCCCCTGCACCTCTGGCCTACACCCCAGTTCTTGTATGCATAAATAAATAAATCTTTAAAAAAAAAATGAGGGCAAGTTATGGGCAAACCTGAAAGACCAAGCTCATAAGGCATGTGGAAACAGACTAACCTAGAAGACCATTAGTGGCAAGCATTTTTCTTTATTAATGATTGAATTTTGGCAACTAACTTTGTGTGCATGACATATACAGACCCACTGATGGAACTCTAGATCTCTCAGTTCTTTTAGAGCAATGCTCCTTAAAGCAACCTGGGGGTCACCTGAACAGAATCACCTGGGTGGCAGTTTTCATTAATAGGCAACCCCCAGACCTCCCTACCCACCTCACAGACTAAATGAATCAGAATAGGAGGAAGATCTGGAAAAACTGAGGTCTAAAGAGGCTCCCGAGGGGCTTCTCATCCATACTAAAATTTAAGAAGGGACATAGGAAATAAGAGTCAGAAAGAAAAACAGAGAAAGAAAAATCACAGACAACAGGGGGAAATTTTATGTTTGCACTATAGCACATAATATCAGTGTATTATACATCAAACTGTAAAAACTGAATCTGATAACCCCATTAAAATATTATAATTAGACCAGAAGACTTTGCAGAGAAATGAGCACAAGCGTCATATTAAATGACCTACAAGTTATATGCTCCACGTTGCACAAAGCATTTCAAAGTGTATGAAAATGAGTCAGGCAGCACCTAACCCCTCACATCTAATTATACTAATGAAATGCTACCAGTGTCTGCAAGGCAAGTTTCACATTGTATTTCTTTTTTTAATTTCTTTTTTTTATTTATGTATGCATACAAAAACTGAGGGGTATGCCAGAGGTGCGGGGGTGAGAGGATTCACCAGAGACAGAGTGGGGAGCAGAACAGGCAGACTGACCGAAATACACTGCTGAGGGGAGCAGTGGGCGAGACAGGAGAGGTCTGCTGTGCCATGTGGGCAGCATCAAACTCATGCTGCAGTGGCTGGCGATAGCTTGATAGCACTGTGTCTTCAACCCCTGTGCCACCAGGGAGGCCCTGAGTATGAATTTTTTAAATGTAACTATGTTGTTCATGAGTCCTGAATATAGTCTTAAAATGATGACTTGGTGGCTTGCAAGTTCCGTCATCTCAGTTCCCGGGAATGTACTGCATCCCCAACCTTGCATCAGGCTCTGGCACTGTGAGACCAAGATGAGTAAGACGTGGGCCTGGGTAGGGGAGCTTGCACTTATGGCCCATTCACCACTTTTCCTGTGATCTGCCATTCTTTAAAAACTCAGGAAAAGGGCCTCCCTGGTGGCGCAGCGGTTGAGCGCTGGGCTGCAAAGCTGCCCACAGCCTCTGTAGCGCCAGTTCAACCCCTGGCTGCCAGGGAGGGTCCCACATGGTGCGCAGACCTCTCCTGCTGCCCACTGCTCCCCTCAGCAGTATACCTCGGTCCTTCTGCCTGTTCTGCTCTCCGCTCTGGCTCTGGTGAATTCTCTCAACCTCCCACGCTTCTGACCGTACCCAGTGCTTGTATAAATAAATAAATAAATCTTAAAAAAAAAAAAAAAAACTCAGGAAAAGCATGACTTGCAGGCATTAGACACTTCAAGCTCAATACTCAAAATGAAAAGGAGGCAACACCATCAATGGGTACTGCTTTTCAAGCCATGAACGTTTAGAAGTTAACACCAAAGAGGCCACACCTGCTCGATGGATTTTGAAACAACCTTAAACCATTCTCTTGGTAGACAAAGAAATAACATAATTTTCCATATTCTTTGGATTCTCTTCCTCCTTCCTTCTTTTCTATCTTCTTATGCGCCCCACACAATATAGCTGTTTCCTGCTCCAATACCCCAGACAGTAAGTCTTAAGTCCAAGACCCCAAAAAGGCTGTGCAGCTGTCAACTTTGATCCAAACGACTCAGCAGAGAGCACTCTAAGCTCAGCCTCAGGCCAAGGCAAGATGACATGGAAAGAGCTATGTGGAGTGTGGCAGAAAAGCGGTTTGGCTGAGTGTTTATTTGACAAACTTTTATTCATGCTCAATCCATTTGCTGTTTGGTGCCAGTAAGTGGGTGGAACTGACTGAGTGATTGGTTCGCATATTCCAGCAAACTGCCTTCAACTAAAAACCAACTGTGTACCTGTGGCACACGTGTGTAGCTCTACGTTGAGAGGCTCTAGAAGGTGCACCCCTGGCAGGAGCTTAACAATCATGTGCTGCCAGGTTTAGGCCAAGAAAGGCACCTCTTTCTACACTAATCATTCCCACGCCCTGCGAGCTCTGGACCTGTGAGAACTTGAGATTTGCTGACAAGTTCCACATCATGTCAACCATAGCCCTTGCTACATATACACACAAATCTCTCACCACTGAATCCTTCATCTTCGTGGGGAGAGGGTCTGCAGCCAGCTCTTCCAGATTTTGATGTAAACATTTAGGAATCAATCTGCAGTGAACAAAGGACCTGAAAATGGAAAAACACCAGGTCTTATTTTTTTTAAATACATGCCTCTTACAAAATTTAAAGTGAACAACTTCACAAATGACAAAAGCAAGTGCCCCTTTCCTTTATATAATTTCAATAAAGAAAAATAGATGCATATTTAAGTGATCACAGAGATAGTGTTTGGACTTTCAAATTCCAACCTAATTAAAGCAGTCAAGAACCTCAAGAGGTATCAGTTCTTCCGACTGTCAACAGCTAACTAGGAAAAAATGGCAGCAAAACCCAACATTCCTGTAAAATACTTGACACAAAAACTTGTGTAAACCATATTTAACTTTCCTCCATTTCTCTATGCCTTTCATCTTGCTACAGCCTAAAATTATAATTTCTCAAAGTCTTCTGAAAGCTTGGACAAATCACTTGAGATGACAGACCTAACTGTGATTGATTGATGGATATTAGTAACTAAGGATTATTATTAAACACATTTTAAAACTTTGGCACAAACTTCACTTTAAACCCAGAGGGCACTGGCGTCTTGGGAACAAAAAGCAATAGAACAAAACAAAAACCTCTCCATTCAGAGGTGGCAACAGTATAGTTTCTCCAGGGTAACTGCCTAGAATGAAGGCCAGGATGCCAATTTATGAACCACAAATTGGGTTCTTGTTAGAGCTTCTCGTGCAAGGGAAAGGGATGGTGCATGAGTGCTGGCAACCATCTGTTCCTGGCTTTGCACCTTTTATTGCACAAGTATCACAGTCAAAGCTAAATGTTCCCTGAAAGTTGACCCTTTTCACTGGCTTCCGGTTGCTCCTACATTTGCTTGACAGCAAGAGTCCAAATGCCCCGAGTACTAAAGAGAACAAGGCTGCAGGACCTGCCGACAGGTGTGTGTGTTATGAAAGTTGTGTGTGTAGGTGTGTGTGTTACTCACAGGAGCACAGAGGGATCGCTGCTCTGCCTGCTCAGGTGGTAGGAAAGTGCAACCAGGAGGCCACAGAAGGCTGAAAACAGGGCTGGGATGTGCTGTGTGCTCCATGGCTCCTGAGGAAAACACACGACACAGCAAGTCATTCCATGGCTGGTGCCGATGGCAGGGACACTACAAAATGCCCCACGGTCCAGCTAGATGGAACTGGTGTCTGAGGGCACCTCTGTCAATGGGTAGACAGCACCTGATGGCCACAGAGAAACGTGGCCTGTTCACCAGTGAACACTGAGTTTGACAAGAGACAGGGGCAGGGGTGAGGGACATTTCAAATAAATTCCACATATTTACAAGAATATCTTTACTTACTCTTTTCTAAGAACATATGTACTTAATCTTATCTAAAATTAAATTTAAGAGTTTTATAAGATGTAACATTAAAAACACATGTTGCCTCTTCTGGATTCAATAGAACGCTTAATAATGATTACAAGGATTGTATTTCTTAGTGTTAATCAATGGTTTCAGAGGTGTAAGACGTGTAAACACAAGAGGAGAGATTAAGTCAACCAATGGATTGAAACAAATCTTGGTAAAAACAAAAGACCATCCATAAAGAAGGAAAAAACTATTTGAAAAGAGCAATGACTACAGGTTTCATCTGACAGAAGCACTGATGCAGGGCAATGCAGTCGGGGGGTGAAAGAACAGATTTCTGGAAACCCAAGTACCCAACAGGAGAACTTGGCGGCAGGGACAAGCTCTCACCGCCCCCCACCCCATCCCACACACCTGGAACTCCCACCAACTCAAATGCATCTTCATATGCAAAGGAGGAAACTTTCCAACAACATCAGTACAACCTGCCAAGGGCCTCAAAGCTGGATCTAGTAAAGGACTTCAATACTTTTCTGTCCAGATGTTGACCTGTAAATTTACCAAGTGTTTTGTTTGTGAAGGATAAGTTGTTAATGATGTTCAGATCAAATATACAGATGAATGAGTCGCGAGTGGTCATATTACATTTGTCAGTGCAAAGATATACTGGAAAAGTGCTGCCCTGGGTAGGATCAGTGATTTTTATTTTTTCATGACTCGCTTTCCTAGAAATTAAAATGCATTACCTTTTCCTCTCTGCAAAGAAGATATAGTTGCCAGAAAGAGCACACAGCACAACCCAGTCTCGCTGGGATGCTGAGCTCAGTAGCTGGACATCAGGAAGGGAGACAGGCCCACAGACACAGGTCAAGCAACCAGGCCCCTGCCCCAGGGACACCCACCACCTCTCAGCTCACCCTCTTACCCTACTGCCCCACAAAGTAACTCTCTGAACCCTTAAGGTCCCACAACTGCTTATTTTCCTAATTCTGGCAGATTCTTCCCCACCAATCCACAAATCTTGCTGGAAATCTCAGAACTATAATAACTGTTCTCTGCTTCTCTCTCCTTTGAAGTTTCATTCAGCAAGATTCTCCCTTCTGTGTGAGAGGACACATCCTCCTCCCTAAGGCCAACCATACCTGTGTACCCACTGTTTTGGAACCATCCCAGGCTGGGTAGGTTGTCAACATCAGCCCAGGCAGCTTTAAAAAAGAAACTTGGAGTTGCTGGCATCATCCCCACAAGTTTTTAAAATTTTTTTATTAAGACAGCATTGCATTATAACATGTAAGTTTCAGGTGACACACACACACCTGAAACTTACATAATGTTATAATTTAAGAATAAAACTTTTGACACAGGGGAGCCCAGTGCTTCATGCTTGGTGACAAACACACGATGCTCTGAAGCAAAAAGCTTCTCCATCATCCCCACACTCAGCTGATTCTCAGGAATCAGGGATGCATCTTTTCAACACCTTTCCAATCTGTCCCTTGCGTTCATTTTACCCTACTGGGAAAGGCTTCTGTGTCTCATTCCTGGACTGTTGATAACAACTTCATAGCAAGAAGGTCAAATGCTGATCTCCACATCCTTCCCCCATTTCACAGACCCCAAGACATCTTCCACATAACAAAAGAATGACCCTGCTCTCATAAAAGCCAAATTAATCACATTATTGACCTTCACTTAGTATTTTCCAATGATTCCTTATTGCCTACCAAATAAAATGTACTCCACAGGAAGCTACATTAACCAATTAGGATCTTGGCCCTAACCTAACTTTCTAACCTCATTCCTTCCACTTAGAATATATACAATAGCATAAAGATATATTTCTTCCCGGGCCCTGCCTTCACAAACAGCATTCTGTCTGCCCAGAGGGTACTTCTTCTCTGATGCCATTCCACTCCCCTCTCTCTGCAAACTCCTACCCATGCTTTAGGACCCAGTATGAGAAGTATCACCTGCTTAGTACTGCCCAGTACCAGACTTTCCAGGTAGACTGCAGCCCTCTGTGTATCAAAACTGGCTTTAAACATCTCAATTGCAGCATTTAAGGTACGTCACTCCTGTTATTCATGGGCATGGGTGGGACTTCCCCTCATGTCTCATCTGAGAGGTGCTGGCACTGAGCAACGTGAGTAGGCTCAGCTTTGCAGCTCTTCCTCCAGTAGGTGGCTCAAAGATAAGCTATCAAGGTATCCTTGAGTGAAGGACTGTATCAGTTCAGTTTTTTTTTTTTTTTTTTTTTTTTACTACATTGGGCCCTCTTCCATGACCTACGTAGAAAGAATTTTTGGCAAGAAAAGAGGGTAAAATAATTAAGTAGCTTAGATAAAAAGTGGCCAAGCAATGAGATTCCACCAAAATGACAGCTCATCAGAGAATTGTTCCTTGACTCTAAAACTTTATTTTTCCCTCAAATGCCACCAGTAATAGCAGAACAGTTATTCTGAAAAGTGGGAGTTTTATATTTTCCTAACCATACATTTACTGGCTTCCAACTTTGTGCCAGGCACCAAGGAGCTCCCCTGTGAGAGGACAGACACAGTGTCTTGGGAAAGAAAGAATACATGAGTATTATTTATTGGTGGTGCAGGGGTTAAAGACAGCACAGGGGTTAAAGACAGCACTATCAAGCTATCACCAGCCACTGCAGCACGAGTTCGATCCCTGGCCAGGGAGATACCCACACGGCGCAGCAGACCTCTCCTGTCTCACCTCTGTTCCCCTCAGCAGTGTATTTCAGTAGATCTGTCTATTCTGCTCCCCACTCTCTCTGGTGACTCTTCTCACCTTTCCCACCCCCACACGTCTGGCTTACACCCCAGTTCTTATATGCATAAAAAAATAAATCTTTAAAAAAAAGAAAGAATACATGAGTAACTGCAATAGGGTACAGGGAGTGAAAATAATCGGGAGGAGTGCCATACTGGGGAGCAGAGCAGGGGGCAGAGTGAGTCAAGAGTGTGCTTTTAAGTGGAGCCTCACACAGAAGAATCACAGCAAAACATGCTCCCTCCCCTGCAGGAGTTTCTGAAAAGGCTAATTCAGCTCAACAGCCCTGTGGGTGGATGATGCTATCCTTCTACTTCCCCTGTTCTTACCTATTCAATGTATTTCATTCACAATTTCATGAAGGCTGGGGTATTTCTCTTACATGCAGTTCAAGAAAACAAAAATGCATTAAAAAAAACAATCCCTATGAAAAGGATTTAGTAACCATGACCATGGAAATAAGTGTCACTGTACAGAACAGAGGAAACAGTCAAATAGTTGATCCAGGCTCATGAATGATTCTGTAGGAAAAAAATTTACATCTAAGTTGTTCACTTTCTCTTCTGAAAAATGTGACAATGTCATCTTTCTTGAACATTGCTCTGGTGACTTAATAAGATTTGAAACAGCCTTGCACACTGCAAAGTAGTGTGTCAGCATCCATTTTTTAGTCACTGGAAAAGAAAGAGTATCCATGATGGACAGTATTCTCTGACAATCAATTCAATCTAGACTAAATATAATTAAGTAATTAAGTTTACCTAATAAAAGTAATAGGTAATTACTTTTATTTGCCAGCTACCCCTCAAATAATGTGTCTTTCATTCATCCTCTACTTAAATAACTCTCTCCAGGCAAAAGCAAAGAACAGCCCCGGACCCTCCCTCTTTACCTACTCAAACAGCAAATGATAGAAAAGGGAGTGGGAGTTAAAAATATCGAATCAGAACCTGTGGAGCTAGAGATGGGTGATGTCGCCCCCCCCCCACCTTCTACTTCTGTGCATTTTTCTCCATCTGTGATGACCTATGCAGACAAGTGACTGTTTGATTGACATCTGATCCCTCAGCTAGGCTGAGCATACGGGCAGGAGGCACTCGTGTGTTCGACCTCAATGTATTCTCAATACCTATGCAGTGCTGAAAAGCATTTAATCAATATGTATGGAACCAATTCACCTTACTGCATAAAGCTTATAATATATAAACTACATGGATTGTTTTATTTAAGTATCTACAACTACAGGGAAGGTTGATCTTTTAGATTGCAGAACTGCAGCTCAAAGCAAGATTCTGGTACAGGGTTGCTGGTTTCAACCCCGACTCTGCACTAAAATACTGGGCAAGCTATTCAGCCTCTTTTCTTATCTTAGATAATTTAATAGTGCACACTTTGTAGGGCTGTTGTAAATATTATATGAAATACTGTGTGTAAAACATTTAGTTGTCATCATAAAATGCTCAGTAAATGTTTGCTAATACTATATGCTTTACTAAGATACTGTACTGTCCATTCAGCTGCTAGAACAAAATATCATAAACTAGATGGCTTATAAACAGAAGAGATTTATTGGTCATGGTTCTGGGGGCTGGGAAGTCCAAGGTTAAGGCAAGTCTTCTGCTAAGAAATTGCTTTCTGGTTCATGGGGTGCCTTCTCAGGGAATCCTCACACAGTGGGAGGGGTAAGGGAGTTTTTCAGCCTTCTCATAAAAGGGTAATGCCAATAATGAAGGTGCCACACCCACAATCTAATCACCTCCCAAAGGCCCCACCTCCTAAAACCATCACCTTGGAAGTTGGAACTTCAACATATGAATTGCAGGGAGACATAAATATCTGAACCAAGGCAAACATATAAGGGGACTAAGGACTGCAATAAATCACATTTCCGAAAAAATTAGAATCAACCTTAGGTATGGTCTTCCTCTAAGAGATGATGGGGTGAACAATGTTT